CTTTCCTACCCCCTTTCTTAAAGCCTTGCCCTGTCCCCACCCCCAGTCTGATTGGCTCCTTTCTATTTCCCTGTTTTTTACATTTAACAGTTAGAGGCTAGGAACCATGTATGAGAGAGGTCAGGTGGCATTTGTTTTTCTGAGCCTGGGTTACCTTCCTGAATTTAGTTTCTAGTTCCATCCATTTTCCTGTCAATTCCATTTTTCCATATAGCTAAACCAAGTTTCATGTGTATGTATGCTACATTTCAGATATCTATTCATCCAGGCTGACTCCATTTCCTTGTTATGGTAAAGGGAGTAGCAAAACCACAGAGTCCTTTTGGTAAATATTCAGGAATAATGTAGCTGGCTCATATGGTAGATCCATTCTTCCATCTTGTTTAGCTTCCTTAGGTGTACAGATTTTAGTATGTTTATCCGATAGTATAGGTCTAATATCCACTTATAAGGGAGTATAACCCATGTGTGTCTTTCTGCTTCTGGGATACCTCACTTAGGATGATCTTTTCTAGGCCCCACCATTTGCTTGCAAATTTCATGATTTCCTTGTGTAAATGTACCACAATTTCTGTATCCATTCCTCAGCTGAGGGACATCTATGTTGTTTCCAGGTTCTGGCTAATATGAATAAAGCTGCTACGAACATGGTTGAGCAAATGTCCTTGTTGTATACTTGAGCATCTTTTGGATTTATGCCTAGGAGCGGTATAGCTGGATCTTGAGGAAGCAATATTCCTAATTGTCTGAGAAAGTGCCAGATTGATTTTCAAAGTGGTTGTAGAAGTTTACATTCTCACCAGCAATGGAGGAGGGTTCCCCTTTCTCCACATCCTCTCTAGCATGTATTGACACTTGAGTTTTTGATCTTAGCCATTCTGATGGGTGCAAGGTAAAACCTCAGGGTTGTTTTGATTTGCATCTCCCTGATGACTAAAGAGGTTGAACATTTCTTGAAGCATTTCTCTGCCATTTGACCTAAAGAAGCTAAGCAAGAAGGAGGACCCTGGGTAAAATGATCAATCCTCACTCAAAAAGGCTGGATGGGCATCAGAAGAGGGAGAAAACAGGGAACAGGACAGGAGCCTACCACAGTGGGATTCTGAAAGACTCTACCCAGCAGGGTATCAAAGCTGGTATCAAAGCTATGATGCTGATGCTCATAGCCAAACATTGGGAAGAGTGCAGGGAATATTATGAAAGAAATATTATGAAAGATAGTAAGACCTGGAGGGGACAGGAGCTCCACAAGGAGAGCAACAGAACCAAAAAATCTGGGCCCAGGGGTCTTTTCTGAGACTGATACTCGTATGCATGAAGATAACCTAGAACCCCTGCTCAGATGTAGCCCATGGCAGCTCAGTCTCCAAGTGCGTTCCCTAGTAAGGGGAACAGGGACTGTCTCTACATGAACTGAGTGGCTGGCTCTTTGATCACCTCCTCCTGATGGGGGAGCAGCCTTACCAGGCCACAGAGGAAGATAATGCAGCCACTCCTGATGAGACCTGATAGGCTAGGGTCAGAGAGAAGGGGAGAAGGACCTTCCCTATCAGTGAATTTGGGGAGGGGCATGGGAAGAGATGAGGGAGGGAGAGTGGGATTGAGGGAGGATGAAGGAGAGGGCTACAGCTGGGATACAAAGTGAATAAACTGTAATTAATAAAAAACATAATTTTAAAAAAGAAGCTTCCATGTTGATTTCCATAGTGGCTACCCTAGATTTTTACTCCCCCCTTTTTTTTGCTTTTCTTGTATTATGATTATTATTTACAACTTATTGATTTTGTATCCCAGTTGTATCCCCCTCCCTCATCTCCTCCTGGTCCCATTTTCCTTCCCTCTTCCTCCCTTACCTCTCTTATCTCTCCCTTATCTCTTCCCTAGTCCACTGATACCAGAAGTGCTCCTTCCCTCTTGTCTGACCCTAGCTATCAGGTCCCTTCTGGATTGCCTGAATCCTCTTCCTCTGTGGACTGGACTGTCAGCCTACCAGGGAGAAGTGATCAAGGATCAGGCAATCCAGTTCCTGTCAGAGATTGTCTCTTCTCCCCTTACTATGGAACCCACATGGTGAGTGAGCTATCTATGCGCTACATCTGAGCAGGGGGTCTAGGTCCTCTCTATGCATGGCCTTTGGTTGATGCATCAGTCTCTACAGTTTCCCCTGGGCCCCGCTTTTTTTTTTTTTTTTTTTTTGGCTTTGTTCTCCTTGTGGAGCTCCTGTCCCCTGTAGGTCCTTTTATATCCCCCTTCTTCCATAAAACTCCCTAAACTTGCTCTGTAGACCAGGCTAGCCTCAAACTCACAGAGATCCACCTGTCTCTGCCTCCTGGGATTAAAAGTGTGTGCCACCACTGCCTGATAAGCATTCTTTATCAATAATCAAAACAAGACAATGCTTGATGCTCAGAGAGTGTTTGGGCTCTCAAATTGCTTTATGTGCAGTTAATGCTTATAGAGTATTTTGCATGGCCATACCAGCCTGCACATGCCTGATGTTGTCTGATCTTGTAAGGTTAGCAGGGCTATCCTGGTTAAGACTTAGATGGGACATTTTTCATGTTTATGTTCATCAAATTTTTTTGAGAATTGTCAGTTCATTGCAACTCATTTGTTAATTGGGTCATTTGATATATTTTTTAAATATTCTGTGTTTTATTCCTCTATTAGATATATAGTTAGCAAAGAGGTTTCTCCCATTTTTGTAGGTTATCTTTTTACTCAGTTGTTTCATTTGCTTTAAATAAACTTCTTAATTTAATGAAATATTTTTGTCAGTTGTTGGCTTTATTTCCTGAGTGACTAAAGTTTTGTTTATTGTTGTATCTTGATGTTTCTTCTACTCTTTCCTCTAACAGTGTCAGAGTTTCAGGTCTCATATTTATGTCTTTGATCTCTTTGGAGTTGATTCCCGTATGAGGTGAAAAATACGAACCTATTTTCATTCAGCTACCTGTGGACATCCAATCTTCACAGCACTATTTGTTGACAAGGCTGTCTTCCTCCCATGCATATTTTTAGCATCTTTGCTAAAAGGCAGATGACTATTTTGGCAACTGTTGGTTCATCTCCACAGAATGATGATCAGGTTCTATAGCTAAAGGCAACACCCAGGTAACTCATGAAACATGGAGAGGTTGAGTTGGTGCCTACCTAGAACCTTCGCCCCACATTGACTATTGTCCATGGTACTGGAAGGTACTTCCCATGCTACCACAGAAAAAAGGTAACACTTCTAAGTGGGATGTGTTCATCAAATTCCTCCTCTCAAGGCTCAGGGAACTCTGTGGAAGAGGAGGCAGAAAAATCCCAAGAATGAGTTGAGATGGAAGAGATCCAAGGAAATAAGGCCTTCTGTACACAAAATGTCTGACACACATGAACTCACAGGGCCTGCATAGGTCTAAGCCAGATGGGGTCCCAAGAAGTGGACAGAGCCCTAACCCTAACTCAGAAGCTATCTCCAATTCATAACTGCTCACAAAGTGGAAAATTATCTTTCTTTAACAGTCTCACTGAATATATAAACTATAATTTAGGGCAAGCACCCTGCCTTGTAGTAGATGACCAACACAAAATGGATTCAATGGTGTTTTTGGGTGGTTCTTTCTCTCTCTCTCTCTCTCTCTCTCTCTCTCTCTCTCTGTGTGTGTGTGTTTTAATGTTTTGTCTGGCTATTTTTTCTCTTACAGGTCTTTTGGTTATATATTATGGTTTCCGGGTTTTGTGCTTTCATGGGATTTCTGTGTGTGAGACTGTGTGTGTCTCTGTCTATATGTGTTCCTTCTGCTTTTTCTTTGGATCATTTTTTCTGTTTATTTTGTCCTATTATTCTTTGTTTTTATTTTATTATTATTATTATTATTATTATTATTATTATTATTTTAGATAACTGCTGTTTGTTTTCTAACTAGAGAGAGAGCAAAAAAGGGTGTGGATTTGGGTAGGTGGGGAGAATCAAGGAGGAGTTGGGGAAGGGAAACCAGAATTAGAATCTATTTTATGAGAGAATCCATTTTCAATTAAAATCAGGTGGCTGTAGCATTGTGTTTTATAATACATCCTCTATTCTGAAGAAAGTAAAGAAAAAATAAAAATTTTCTCCTTATTCTCTTCCTTCTTTTCCTCCTCTTCCTTCTTCTTCTTCTTCTTCTTTTTTCAGTTCCTCCCCTTTCCAAACCCTTTCCAGGACACTGTAATCTGATTTCTACTTTCAAGTGTTTGGGGTTTATTTTGCTTTCATGTGCAATAACACATGTTACTTATCTTGCTGTACCTGCTTATTTTGCTTAAAAGCACGTGTTCTAGCCCCACCATTTCCAGCTAATGACAGTTTTGTTGTTGTATCCTTTTATGTTTTAAAAATATTTTATTTATTTATTTTATGTATGAGTGCTATATTTGCATGTATGCCTGCATGGCGAAAGAGGGCATCAAATTTCAGTATAGATGATTGCGAGCCACCATGTGGTTGCTGGGAATTGTACTCAGGAGTTCTGGAAGAGCCTCCCTGTCTTTGCAACCATTCCTGACTTGGGACTATTATAATTGTGAACAATTCTACAGAACTCAAGGAAGGAATACAAATAGGTTCCACGAACTATATCTACTTCATTTTGTTGCTCAGTCACAAGGTAGAAAACCAGAAAGGAAGAGAGAAGATGAATTCTTTGTGATTTTGCTTCTGCACTGTTTCTTCATCTGTGGCAAGTGTTCATTACTGGACCAAATGGCTTTAGGGGATGACATCTGGAGAAAGGAGTTTAATCAAGTTAGCTCATGTGGTATGCCTACAGTAGACCTGGCAAGGGGGTAGAAGAAGGCAGAGGTACTCTAAGAGCTATTTGGCAAAATAAGGTCACTCAAAAATGGGAAATAGTTGATTAATATCTTATAACTGTAATTTTCAAGATGTCGGCATATCAGCAATGATAAAACTTCAAATTACTGTCTTACAATCATTTAAGTATTTAAACACTCTTATTTAAATGTTTTTCTAGAGTCACATTGTGCGGCTATGAATCAAACAACAAAGAACAGTTCATTACCTACAGAAGGTAATATTCTTCCTTATCTTGTGGCCAGCACTGTGGGAATGGAGCATTGATCTTGTTTACATACAGAAATTAATTCCTTGTCTGCTGGACAGATTTAGGATGAGGAGGAGAATCTGGTGGTGTGAGTGTTACGTGGTGAGGGCCTATGAACACTTGCCTCTAAACCTCTGCCATCTTAGAGTGATGGAAGACTGTGGGGTTAGCGCCCTCCCAGGCCTGTGCTGAAGCATTTCTTTCTTCATCTGGTTAGATAATCTTCATTTGGATGTGACTTGTGAGGACTTAAGTACTCCAAGAGACAAGTGACATTGAAATAGGAGAGTTGAGATAGTTGATGCAATGTTTATCGTAAGCAAGGCTTGTTCACAGCGATTTCTGCTCCTGTTAAAATGGTGGAATTACTGACTTTTGTCACAGGTGATTGTAATAGATAATTTTGTTGCATAATCACCACTGAGCAAACTTGTACCCACCATGGACTCTTTAAGTCAGTATACTGGCAATGTGAGGTTTTATGGTACAAGATGTGTGTAACCTACAGGCCTTGAATTTGTACATTAGGAGATGAATAATGTACTTCATTATGATAGATTAAACATACAGAAACAAAAAAATGTGAGAAAAATGTAATATTTCTGGAACACGTTCATCAGCCAAGCAATGTTCTAGTGTAATTCAACATAAGCTGCTGTATATAGACTTAACACACAAGGTTTCTTTTTCTCATTCTCTTTGTGTGTGTCCAGCTAACACTACAGTGTCTGTACAGATGGGTAAGAAGGTTCTGCTGAGCTGCCCTCCTGTTCCACTGACAAAGGCAGTAGTAATAACATGGGTGATAACCCCCAGAGGCGGACCTGTCTGCATAATAGCCTACAAAGCAGACACAAAGGAGACCAGGGAAAACAACTGTACCGACAGGAGAATCACCTGGGCCTCCACACCTGACCTGAGTCCTGAGCTGCAGATCACCGCAGTGGCCCTCGAGCATGCTGGATATTACTCATGTGAGATAGCAGTAGCTGATGGGTATTTCCAACAAGGCCATGACCTCCAAGTGCTAGGTAAGTCACACTGTCACATAGTGTCGTATTTTAGGTCACCAGATTTTAGATAGAAACAAATATCTTTGTAATTTGTGAAACAAACTTAATATTTTTCCCCCTTCTATCTCTACAGTCCCCCCTGAAGTAACCCTATTTCTCGGCAAAAATAGAACCGCAGTGTGCGAGGCAAGTGCAGGCAAGCCGGCTGCGCAGATCTTCTGGACTCCAGATGGGGATTGTGCCACTAAGAGTGAACCACACAGCAATGGCACGGTGACTGTCAGGAGCGCATGCCACTGGGAGCAGAACAATGTGTCTGCTGTGGTCTGCTCTGTCTCCCATTCGACTGGCAACCGGACTCTGTCCATAGAACTGAAGAGAGGTGGTAAGCACAGCTTTAAATTTTTTGCCTGTATTTATTTATTTGTTTGTCTGTGTGTGTGTGTGTGTGTGTGTGTGTGTGTGTGTGTATGTATGTATGTATGTAGAATTATTTGCTGGCTTTATCTATCTATCTATCTATCTATCTATCTATCTATCTATCTATCTATCTATCTATCTATCTATCTATC